TATTTGAAAAAAAAATGTACGTCCTCTCGACCGCGCAAAAATCGAGCTATTAACTTCAAATTTAGAGAAAATTGTCCTTTTATCACTACAACGAACGGTATTGAAAATAAGCATAATTGACTGATTAGTTCCGGAGATATTCAATTTGTAGTGTAAACTGATTATGTGGTCTTAAACGAATTCTTTTTTTTTTAATATGAAAATTTTCGTTTCGATGTCCTCTGTCATTATCACTTAAAACGTATATACTCGTCCATTCAAAGTTTTAGAGATATTTCGATTTGTTTATTTTTCAGTTTCACATTTCTCACTACAATGGATGGTATTCAAAATGAACATAATTGAACCATTAATTTCGGAGATATTCAATTTTTATTGTAAAATGATGACTATATCAATCATTTTACAGTTTATATGTTATTCCCCCCCCTCAAGGTTGCTGAACAATCTGAATTAAATTGTAAAAAATCAACTACCAAATGTGTATAGTTGAGAAAACATGTGTTGCCCCCCCCCCCCCGCAAAAAGGCAATGTGTAATCTAAATTAAATAACAAAAATTTAATCAATTAACACTCTCGTGTTATTATATATAACACGCTCATTCGTATTAATTCACTTTTTCAATTAATTTTTTTAAAAACTACTCTCAACTCTTTCCGATTGTTCAGAGTTTACAGTGCAATTGTTGCTCCCCCCCCCCCGCGCTCCCGGAAACTTAATAAATATGCTCTTTCAAATAACAAAAACTCAATTGTAGACTCTTGGCGAATGTTTAGTTTACTGTACATATCTTGCCACTCCCTCCTCATAGAAACTTAATAAACATTCTCACTCGACTAACAAAAACTCAACTCTAAACTGTAGAGTTGTCTATAGAGTTGAGAGGAAATATGTTCGTCAACCCTCTGCAGCCTCTACAAAGTTAATAAACAATCTGAATTAAATTTTTAGAAATCGACTCTAAACTCTTGCCGATTGTTTAGAGTTTACAGAACATTTGTTGCCCCCCCTCCCACCGAAAGTGAATTAGCATTACAAATTAAATTAAAAAAAAACAACTCCCATTCTTTCCGATTGTTTGGAGTTTACAGTACATTTGTTCCTCTCCCTCCCACCAGAAAGTTAATAAATATTCTCCCTCAAATAATAAAAAATCAACTCTAAACTCTTGCCGAATGTTTAGAGTTGAGAGGACATATGCTATTCGCTTCCCAGCCCTCACAAAGTTAATGAACAATCTGAATTAAATTTTAAAAAATCAACTCTAAGCTCTTTTCAAAAGTTTACAACTCAGAAATATCCATAGAATCCGATATAGCCTCAACTCTAAACGAACTCACAGCTTGCCCTAAACTCCTGGAAATATTTGAGAGTTCAATTCTAAACTCGTTCCGCTAAGAAGAGCCTTTTCTCCAAACTCTCAACTATCGTAATAGTTCAGAATTCGTATTTTTTAATGAATTAGTAATGTTTATCAATGTCGGCGCGCGTGGGAGAAGGGAGGCGATCGTTTTCTCTTAACCGTTACCTATTGAAACAGCTCAGAGTTCAGAGAAGTTGCCCTCCCCCCTTCCTAATATTCTGACCGATAATACAGGTCTGCACTTAATCGAAGAAAAAATAAAAAATTTTACATTTTATTTTTATTTTGTCATTTAAAGATTACCTGGGAATGACCCACCATGGCGAAAAATCAATTTTTAAAAATTTACGTTTCCCGCGTAAGCTCTTTACTTCTTCAGTCTCTTTAAGATATTCATTGTGTAATGAGCCTTCTGTCCGTTAAATCTTAGAGATATTTCAAAATTGAAATTATCTTAAAAGTTAACAAACGTGTTTGCTTCTTTAACCCCATAATGCAGTATAACAGCACCAGAATAACTTGAAAATCCAATTTCATAGCACAGTTTTTGTATGCAAACACCGAAAATTTAATATGAAAAAAATTACTACTACACGGAGAGAAAAATTCTTTAAAAATTACGTGCTTGTTCCGTAACCTGCCAGTCAAAACAGTATTCAGTAAAAATGACGGAACAGTTACGCACTTTTTCAGTGACCTTTCAGGAAAAAGTCCAGAACGTTCAGGAAAGAGTAGGGAACGTTCCGTGAAAAAATGTGGAACTGTTCCGTAATTTTTACTGAATACTGTTTTGACTGGCAGGTTACGGAACAGGCACGCAATTTTTAAAGGATTTTTCTCTCCGTGTATATCTGGCCATGTACATAAATTGAAATGGTCAAAAGTTCATGTACTCTTTGAATTAAATTTTTAGTTACACAAAATGGAAGGTTGAAATTAATTTTTGACATTTTCGAATGTGATTTCCGAGAATAACGATGCCATACTGTCTGGCATGACAAGTTCACATAAATACTCCAGTAATTCAGCAATTATAAAAAAATCAACGGTCTATTTTGCCCGGCCGGTGCATTTTGCCCCACCCTTTGTTATAAAAAATGTGTGGTGTCAGATGGTATGACCCTAGTGGATCTTTTATCAACCCTTCCCAGTACCTGCGCGCTACGCGGTATCCCAGCCTAAATCCCTACCCGCATTTTCCTCTAGTTAACTTATAACTAACTGCCACATGCACTGGTTCATTTTCCGACGATGAAAAATTTTCACCGTCGGGACTCGAACCTGCGCTGCCGATGCTTTGGTCATAGGGCCAGCACGCTGACGACGAGCCCAAAGACATCCGCACCCTTTGTTATATTTCTTTCCTCGTGAAAACGAAGGTCCACATTAGAGAAATCTCTCACGACCAATCCCGAAATATCCTGCAAAGCCTCGTTTTCTCCCGAGTTCTCGGGTCTGACGATGCCACAATGATCTCTTCGCAAGTCCTTATATTAGTGCAGTAACTGATTTTTTAAGACGCAATATAACTACTTTAAATCATCTCACTATAAGAGGAGGAAGACTTACAGTATTTTCAACTGATTGTAGATACATCTGAATGATCGGGAACTATGAATGGTACTCTCATACAATGCTTGCGTGAATAACCAAATTTGGTAAAGCAATAGACTAGGTGGGTGAGAATTTGTGTTGAATCGTTTGCTATATCTGAACTGTCTGTTAATAAGTATACCTCTGGCAGTTTTTTGGGCACAATGAACGTATCTGTGGGTGACATATGCATAAAAAATTGATAAATTCTTTCGTATTGCAAATTGGAAATAATGGAGAGATACATATTTCACATATATGAAATCTTAATTAAAAAAAAATAATGTGAGGATTCTGATCTACCCCTCAAAGAAGAAATCTTATTTATAGACTTACGATCTCAATTTCATTTTTTCACAGGATGCTAATTCAGACTTAGATAAGGGCTAATTGGAGATGTTTGTAAAACTAAATTTTTTAAAGATTACACTTTAATCTTTTGGTTCGATCAAGTCCATCTTTTTGAAAATGTTAAATTGATTCGCTGAAAACTACATCTGGAGGTTCGAAAGGTTACTTTGACGCGTTCAAAAGACTTTTTTTCTACAATAATTTTCAGGGGATGAGAAATTGCACATCTCATTATTAGTTGCGTACAATCAAATAACAACTCATTGGATATCGTTCTGAAAGTCTAAAGTGAAGTACTATATTTGGTGTCTCCAAATGAGACTTTCACGTGTTGTATTCAATTTTTGAAGAACTTAAAACCAGATTTAGTAAAGTTTGCTGTTTAAAGTTGTTGCACCTAAAAACAAGATTCCTTCTGTGTGTCTGACGTTCACCGCAAACCCAACGGGTTCTTCAAATTCATGTGACATGTACTTGTATGTTAATATTGATACTGTATACAGGTGAGTATTTCATAATTAGCATTTTCATGATTATATTTCTTGAAATATTTGTAGACTGTACTTACTGCTTTTGTCCTCTTTTCTTGTCACAGGTGTACTTGTGTCCTCTGTTGATGAACTCATTTTGGCCCTCGCCTGCGTTCACCCATGGACCCTCGTCATCCATAGTAATTACCGTATACAGACACCCGATAGTGGATGTAATGCGTTAGGCAAACAGCGCCCGTGATAGGGACTAACGCAATTTCCCAGAAGTACCGAAATTTCGAGCAAGTCGTATTCTAATATGATTAAATTAAATAAAGTTGATCACCTATTCGTACACAACGTAAGTATTTTTATATTATCGTACAAAAGACCAAAAAAAAATCAATTAATGGACTTCTTCAGTTACCGTATCATTTGAGTTGAAGAAACTCACTTTTGGAAATCCAAACACAATTTATCGATATTTGGTAAACCTAGTGATACCCTAGGTTTACCCGATATTTTACTGTGAAAAGGAAAGGAATGTAATATCTTCCGACTATTTGTGGAATTTGTTTTCAACTTTCCTAAATTGCAGAAACCACAATAGATGAAAACGTCAACAAGTGTATAATATCGATCGATTAGCTTCGAAAATAAATTTCTAAGTATCCTCTTGCACCCTTCGCCTTCGTGAAAACATTCCAACAGCCTTGATGGGTAGGCAGAAGAAATAAACCAGAAAAAAATAGCACACACATCCAAAACGTGTTAAAACCCACCCAACTTAATAGAGCATAGGAAAATTAACATTGGTCTGTTTTTTCTGTTGTTCATTTCTTCAGGGATGTGTCTTGATGATGTTAATACTTCACGAAAAGCGTCAAAAAAGATTACATCATTTTATTAGCATAGAATGCTGATTGACGAAGTATAATAGAAAAAGCGGTTTTTGAAAAATTAAATTCTTACCTATGCCTATACATGGAGATACAATGGAAATGGATGCTTCAAAGCTTGATGGAGAATCTCTTCACCCGACTAATGATTACTATCAAAAGGATGTAGCCCTGGTGGAACGAGCCTCACGTACATCGCTGCTGTGAATCAAATCTGGATTCCCAGTACTTTTAACAATATCGAAGGTGTTCCTTTATAATTGACCGGCAGAGGGGGCAATCAATTATATGATAACGTTATTCCTATAATCTCTGACGAAATTGTAGATTTGTGTTGTATAGTTTTATTCCAGTAGCTCTCAGTAGTATGTGCAGAATAGAAACTAATAAAATTGGTAATAAGGAAAACTGATTAAAAAAAAAAAAGCAATGGAAAACGTGGTAGAGGACGGCGTTCCTAATGGGTTTAATAGTGATGGACATGCGTATGTTATCAAGTCTCGTAGTAGGAAACAAATGTGAGTAAATTTTTTAAATACACCCAACATTAAATTATAACCCCAATAATCGTCCCGGAGAAAATGGTAAGATGGGTCGTGCAAGTATTCGCATCATATCAATAACCTACTGCAAATTCGACATCAATTTCGTTCTTATTCAGGAGAGAGGAGTAATTATTTGTTTTTTATAAGTAATTCACCTTGCAAAGTATGAGAAAGTCTACTGTAAAGAGAACTCTTATTGGTAATTTCACCAATGCCTATGCTTTACTAGCTAGTGATCAAAGACCTTCCATTCCTGAATGTTTTTATTAAACTCGGCTTGGTTAGTATACTGAAGTCAACATAAGTTTTTCTTTCGAGAAAGAGGGTGGGAAACACGAGTTTCTATGTAAAATTCATGTGGCGGGGGTAGGTTGTCAAGGCAAAACTTATGTTGACTTCAGTATATATGAGACTTAGCATCATTAGTCACATAAGCAAACAATCGCCGGCGTGTTATTCAGGATGGAGCGTTGTCGAATTCACTCGGAATTGCCCGGGCGCGTCTGTAGTGAGTGATATCGCTTAACGGGCAATTTCATTTAACGTGAGAAATGAATTTTTCTTCGCTCGAACTAATTAATTTTCGTCAGGAACGCGGGACATAATTTTCGTTGATACAATAATTTCCCCAACTGTTGAGCTGACGATAATACAATAAATTAGCCCAAACTTTCCTACAAATGTAAAGCGATTTTTTGCATTGCGTGACAATAGAATCTACAATAACTGCCCCCGCTCTCCCCCACTCATTTACCTTCGCCCTTGGACATCAAAATGACTGAAAAAACGAATAAAAGAAAAATAATTAAGTGTTATCAATCAACTAATCTTGTTACAGTTATTATCAGTGTGCACTTCGTGGTTCCACTAAATGTGAAACAAGAGCTCATTTCAGGATTGCAGGACATTCTGGTTGCAGGATTACAGTGATATTTTGAACCACGATAAATGGAAACACTTAAGATATTATGAAGAGGGAGATGTTACAGTTGAGACTATTTATGCCACGGATAATTCAGCAATACCCATTATTGCAGATCGTTAATTTCTTCAACAGACAGAAATCACGGAGTTATTCATTGATGCAACATTTAACGTGTGTCCGAATAAACCCAAAGTTCGACAATTCCTGACAGTTATAGGATAAGTTGATGATGCGGTATGGATATTGATAATTTACAAGGCCATTAATAATCTAAATCAGATATAAATTCATAGCAGGACTGAGACAGATTGTATAATTTAAACAATAAACGATGTAGAAAATTCTTTTCTTTCCTAACTCTTTTCTGTGAAAAATGATTGTTCGTATTTTTTCCTTTCGATCTTACACAAGGCATCATTAACTTCGGATTCTAAACACCACCAAAATCTTTTAGAAAAAGTAGTTGCAATTGTTCTCAATTTCACGTAATGTGCAATATCCTTGAAGATAACACTGAAACACTGTGAGAGTGAAGCAAAATGGAACGTTTTCGATGGTCAATAACTCGGAAATGGCAAAATGAAATAGAATAATTTATCTTTCATTTCCAAGGTTAAAAACTGAACTTCAAATAAAAAAAAATAGGATTTTACTACACAGATCCCAAGTTATTGACGATTGAAGGCGCTCCATTTGCTCCACCCCCCCTTACTTCATTGCTTATTAAACTGAGCATATCCCATAGTTTGGACAAAGAATAACTTCGGTTCAGAAAAATTTTTCTGACCCAATGATATTAACTATTCACAAAGTAGAATAAAAAGGATCTAGACATGTGCAGATGGATTGTAGATGGGTTGTCTGATTACTTTGTCACAAGAATAACTGATTCGTTACCATGTTGTTTCACAATTTATGGGTTCAATTCAATTATTGACTTATTGGTGACTGCTGTGTAAAATAGTTTTACACATACTAAAAAAAGAGGCACTAACACATGTGACAATAACTTATACATCACGTAGTTTTCATCTTCATGGTAGAATAAATTCGATCTGTTTAAAGCATTCATTGTACATTTAGATGTGCACTTTATGCATGTGTCAGTGTCATTGGAATTAATGTAGATAAACATGATTGAATCTTCGTGAGTAACTTCGTCGTACATAAGATTTTGTATGTAAAATCAATAAACAATTTCCATCTCATCTTATTTGCAGGCGTTGTCCAAACGATTGAGGAAAAAAGGCAAAAAATTTTGTAAAAAACTAAAGCAGTGGTACACTGTAAAAAGTTTCTTCCGAAAGCTGGTAGCATTAGCCTTATTGCCCCAGACTGATATTCGTCCTGCTTGTGCTTGGCTAAAGGCTAATGCTACTAAGAAAATACTAGAGACGTTCAAGAACCTATTAGATTATTATGAGGATTGATGGTTAAATCAAGTGGAACCAAAAAATTTTTCAGTCTTCTCGCAAAAAAAACGTACCAATAACGTGATTGAAGCATCTCATCGTACATTGAACGAAAGAATGGGTAAACACCAATCAATCTGGTGTTTCACTGGTGAGCATATTTCATTGCTGCTTTCTGTCATTTTATAAAATAAAAGTAGAAAACTTCGTAACAAATTTCATGCAGCAATAAATTGAATGGCCACTTATTAGTACGTGTTTTTTTTCTAAATATTAATTTTTATGTTATATCCCAGGCAGGAATTGACAATTGGCCCAAGCTTGGGTGATGGGCGGCCCAACCCCGGCTAAACAAGGCCCGAGATTGGCATCCAAGGCTGGCTCAAGCCTGGTTGAGCTTTGGGATGATAACGTGCGGGCCTCCCTTGGCCACCAGACTTGAGACTAGCTT